GGAGCGGCGCACCAACCAGATGCTCCCGGCCAAAGGACCGCACTCACCTGCCAAGTGCCTCATTCACCGGCCGGGTGGCCCGAAAAAGTGAAATTCGCTCGCCCGATACTAGTGGCCGCTCGTTCGGTATTTGCCTGGGTATGAGTGCGGGCAAATCCAAAATACTGTTGGAAGTTCATGGTTGAAACCGGATCGGTACCGCTAGAGTGGCATATAACTAAGTGGATTGCGGGAGAAAGTTAAAGAAATAAGCTTGGAAATGGAAGAAAAGCTGCTGTTGAATGCGGAAAATGTTTCTCTACCATGCCTCTATGAGGTTTCCTGATAGGTCCAAGAAAACGGCGCGCACTTTCGAGCCACTCAGTATACTTACTGTTCCAATTTACTTACTAAGTAAACGGACTTACTTATAACGGTTGGCTACGGCTTGCATTCTGAGTCCTGCAACATCAGAGACCCCATGAACAAATACAACAGGATCGTGAACAAGGACTTCTTCGTCGTATGTCTTACCACCGAACGATCCCACACCACCCAGATCGCTTCTGTAATTTCCGAACACTCTTCACCTCTCTGACATTTACTATTATTCCAGATGGACATGCAATAAAAGTACAAACTCAATCAAAATCCTGCCCACCTCTGAAGTAGATCCTTGAACTTAGTACCGTAGTCTCTCTCCAGAAACTCGGCAAAGTGCTTGGTAAAGAATGCATGCGCGAGGAAAATTAGATTAGAAATAAAAATATACGTAAATAGCATAACTGTGGATGACCGTCTCTGTTCCGCTCCTCGCGAGGTCTTTTTGACCTCATTAAAAACTAGCCCGCGAAGACCAAGGACCAATAAAAACATTTGCTCTATTATGCACGAATATACTCGTCTGCTAACACTGTTCCCCTACTTCTAGATTGTCGAAAGTGAATGCAAGCTTATGAGCAAGCGTAGGATGCTGAGCAGCAACATACAGGCTGTATAGTACAAGTGATGTACCCCATCACTTGTGAAAACTAATCAAATCTCCATAACTTCCTTGAATGCATGAACAAGGGACTATTTATTTGCAAACATACTTGCTGTCGCTCATTCGCATCCGTTTATTTGTTGGCGTGCAAAATGGAGCTGTTCGGAGTCAGTGCTTTGAGAGTGGGGGGGGGGGCTTTACCACGGCCCATAGCAGAAGGTCTTGAAAGTGTACTTTTAACCAACAGCATTGTTCAAAGGAACTCACAAAACCCAATAGGCAGGAAAATGTTTTCTATCGCACCTTTTTTTTTACAGAGGCCAAGGAAATGTGTAGTAAAATGAATGACTGAATAAGCACTAAGAAAGAAAACAGTGATGAGGACGGCATCTGGGTTGCGTATACAAAACTTATTTAAGTCTCAATCTCGTTCTGATATGCGTTATAACACTTCTCCAAACAATTAAAGCAAGAAGACTGCAAAATTTATTTCCTGGAGCGTCTTGGTTGAAATGGTTTTTGAGTTTCAATTCTTCCTATGCAAAGCGCTGAAATGCGCTTTGATCCTGGATGAAGTTCTAACCAAGTAGAAAAAGCCTCTTTTTACAGTCATACATTTTGACTGCTGACTGCTAATTACCTTACTTTGCTACAATAAATCGCAGTATAAAGGACTTCTTTCGATCCCATGAAATTAAAGTTGATATTCTACTTACTAAAAATAGATCTAGATGAATTGGACATGTCCATCACAAGGGATCACCTGGCAAATACAGTATACGAGACTCATCGCAAGAGATGCAGGATGCAATGCCGCCACAAGTTTGGGTGGAAGCTGCACGGTTTAGAGGGTTACATACAGGGTGTCCCAAAAGTATGTATGCAGTGTTTGATCGCTGATATCCCT